GTCTCTTCATAATTCACTAGCTTGGCCATTTCTAACTATTATATTCGACAGTCTATTTCCACATTTCCATTGGGACTGCCATGTTTCAAGCGGAATGGAGGCACAAAGCCGAAGAGAAATGCAAAGAACAAAACCGCCACCTTGCAGTCCCTTGTCCACTGCCCACCCTCCTATGCCCTCACTGCCCTTGCAAATTCTATGCAAACATTGCCTGCTAAGCCACCTCTGAGGCCATCAAAGAAGAGGACACCATACTGTTAAAAGAAATTGATCCTCAGACACGAGCCAATGCTGACAATTTTTTCGTTCATAGTACTCAAGTCTGATTGTTTACAACTATTCTGTAGGAACTTTGAAGACAGTGGCTAATTCAGAGCAAGTTATCGCTATCATGATGATGTAAACACAAAACAGTAACTTTCATTATGTCTGTCTCTCTGTCTTAATGATAGGAGAAGTATCGTAGTTTCAACGATCAATGCTAAGTTACCATAGACTTTGTGTTTCCTGTTAGGGACTTGATGACCAGAGAACTAGAGATAAGGCCCATGGACGAAGGCGAAAAACTAACATGGACTGGAAGTGCCTTCTGTTGATACAACAAAACAAACTATAATCCTTTTCATTTATGTCATAAAACTGGCACACACCATCATAGCGTGCAGTTTCTAGTCTATGAGCTCAATATTTGGAGTTATGGTTGGCTACACTTTATTGGCTACCCATGACTCTATAACTTGAGCTTGGGGTTCCTGATAAGCGAGGGATAGAGAGTTAAGCATGACATTTATGGCAGACAGCAAATGACAAAGACTACCTCTGATTTTTTATTCTTTTCTTGTAATCCTTAAATAAATCACACAAAAATAGAAAAATGTCTCCTACTATACAACGCAAATACAAATATTTTCACTCTNGTGGCAGAGAGGGACTAATAATACAACTTTACAGCAGGGGATGGGCTCTGTCAGTATGTTTCATACCTTTCGGTCTCTTCAATGTGCTTTATAGTATAATATGAATGAAACGTGATTTCTTTCATTTACCTTTTTATGAATTTATGGGCTGGTTGTTAAATCACCTTGATTTGTGTACTGAGCGCAGTGTAGCTTGAAATGAAGCAACACCTGAACTTACAGAAACTAACCTGTAGCTTATGAGGAGTGTGCAGCCTCACAATACCTTCAAGGGCCTTAAGAGCCATACTGCTGATAGTAGGGCCTAGGATATCAATTACATACAAAAGAAACATGTGTCAAATTAGATAAAAAGGATCACAATGTCCTTTGGTCGATCCTTTTAGCAGTATACAAAGTAATGCAAGCTTCTTGTTAGTTTCTCAATAGTTTTGTTGATGTGAGAGATCTATGTAAATATTTCAAACAATCAAGTCTAGTCAGGAAATCAATGTTTACAGTTTGAAACTTCAACCTTGTCGAGCACTGTCAATCTCAACATCAAGACGTGCAGTGTACTCTTCTGGTGGTCCAGCTGATGAGGTACCTAACGTAAACATAACACAAGAAGCAAATAAGCTGTTTTAATTTTCATGCAATAGGTAATTGTTTCAGATAAGTGAAAGTAGCACATTACTCTTTGTTCATGCTTATTTTCCTCACACAAATGGTTCCTGATCAACAATAACATAATTATTGTTGTCAAAAACTGTTAAAAACCTCTAAGGCACAGTCTAAATGAAAGATAAATAAAGCACTAATACAATCTTGACAGCTGTATGCTTCAAAACAGGCAGGCAGTAGTCAGGGCTGTCACAAACAGTGCCACCATAACCTGTACAGCTGAGTATGCTTGAATTGATAGGCCCCTGATGTTATGTGGGTGAATTCACAGTTCACCTACAAAGTAACAAGTTTGTTATGGGCGTGACTCAAAACTTAATGACAGCCCTGGTAGTTAATTGAGCATTTTGGTATGAAGGCCTTGTCACAAAGCATAGAATAGATGCTGACTAAGTGTGAGTGCACAGCATTGTTCACTTTACCACAAATACAGATTGCACATGCATCCAACTTACTGTTAAGCCCAATCTTTTGAGACTGAAATAGTAACCACACAACAGTTGGTTCAACTATGGAAGTCTGTACAAGAAAATCAATCAAAGAAAGCATAACATCAAAAACATGAGTAAAAAGAATGATTAAATTAGAGTAATATGATTTTGCACTTTCTTAATCTGTGCATAGCCAACTTTACAATGTACATCAGGCAACTGATGAGTGATGTACAGCCACGTACAGCAGATTGGAAGCTCTAAAGTCAGGTGATGTTTCTTTTTCTGTTTCTGTGCTCTGACAAAAATACACATGTTGATATTGACAACTAACTCACCAAATCCTTCCGTCCTTTAAGAGACAAGGTGTGGATAGTTAATGCAGCTCCTTTAGTCCCAGCAGGGGCAGCACCTCTCACGACATCAGTCTTGGGTGAAAAGTCAGCATCCGCAAAAGCAAAACAGTGCAGTGAGCTGCTATTCTGTTAAGATAGAAGATATATAGATAAAAGAGGGGCAAGCAGTACCAGAACTTCCCTATCATACAAGCATCAGCTTGAAATCTGGTTTTCTTTGCACCCTTTTAATGCCCTATTAAACAAAACAAATGTGAACTAGCAATAGCCACAGCTATTTTTCACTGACACAAAGTTCTAAGTATGCATAAAATCAGCAGCGTGACTGCTGGATAAAATACGGTAAGTATCATGTTTCAAGTACCTGCATGGATAACAAGGAGCTATTTAAAAAATGAAATAGTGTTTTGAATGATTAGGTCAGTCATCAAAATTTTAATTTAATTTTTTTTGAACATGCCTTTGGCAGTTTGTTTGTCTACCTACAACATGTTTACATTGCAAATTATGATCTTTATTCTAATTAGTTGCTATTGCACCTACGTAAATAGTTAGCCCTGAAGCCAAAACAATATCATTTGTTTAGTGGAAAACAAAACAAAACTTAGAGCAACGTCTGAATGCTAGGAAGTGGTCCCTTTTTGGTATGAAAGAAGTATTAGTCTGTAGAAGAAATTCATAAGTAGTACTTTTACTACACAAGATAACTGCATCAGATTTTGTGCTGACTATCACCAATTGAACAACTTTCTGAGTGACTCTTATGCAAATCACCAGGAGTATACACAACTAATGCCAAGTGTACATAGCAGAGTGGACCTTTACAGCAACAGTGCAATTTGACTGCAGAAAACAGAATCAGAACTGGTCCTACTAATAAACAGTGATACTGTTTGGCTTGTAAATGCACCAGGCACATTTGAGAGCCTGATGGCAATCAATCTGGGATCTGCCAGACCAGAGGTGTTCAGTCTATATTAGTAATAACGATGCATTGAACAACAATTCCAAACAATTGGTTTCAGGCTCATATTGCCACAAATTTGTAAGATTCAACAATATCTTCAGGGATCAAACAACTCTTAGAGTCATGACCAAATGCTTTCCACCTTAAAATGTCACCAAACAAGTTATTGCTCTTTTTTGTATCAAAAGGTTTATCTCAAAATTCGTATTCTGGTGCTAAAACAATAGTCTTGTAAACTAATTAAAAATGATCAATGAACTCACTGCAGATAAAATGATTCTGATGGGTACTTGAGCTCTCCCTCTGTTTATCAGATGGATTGGTCGACATTGCTTAGCCCCACAGGAAACCTCGCCAAAGTGTATGGTATTATCATCCTCAAGAACAACCTGTTTAATGAAGAAATAAAATGTTATATTGCTCCTCACCGGCCCAAGGGAAGTCAGCAGTTTTTGTTCTGAGTTGTTAGTGCAGAGCACCCAAGAATTGAAACAGTGCAGCACCAATATTAAGGATTTACTGCTTTTTATACAATTTTTAAAATGAACAAATTTTGCAAGTACTTCATCTTTATCTGGTTTTATCTAATGGCTGTGTCTTTTTGAGAACATAATGCATTCTACACAATTAAGACATGTTGGATTCAACCTAATGACATAGCTTTATGGAGACCAGCAATACATCTAATTGGCTGTAAGTGTTACTCACTCAGGAACTATACAACCCAGCAACAGCAAATCACATACAGATCACAGATCTCTGCTGAACTTGGTCATCAATATACATGTAGAACTTTTCAGATGGAACTTAATAGGACCTCTCATTGGGGGAACTGATTTACCACTGAGCAACTAATTCTAAGTTCACTTAAACACTTTAAGCCCCGGCAAAAAACTCATTATAAGTAAAATACCAGTTGAAAGGTATTGTTTGGGGTATGTCTTAAATCACCATGGCAGACATACAAGATGTCACAAATTGAATCGAGGAGTCCCCCAAGTAAAAAAATGAAAACGTTCAAAAATACCTTATTCCTTGTATATATTGGGTATACCCCTAAACAACAGCTTAATTTGCAGCTCTGGGTGTGTATATGTTTATCAGATATTCACTTGACCGTAAAATAATTGTAAAGACCAAAAGTTTCAAAAACTTGAGGGGTGGTTAATCAAGTCTGATTCATGAGGGGGGTACAGTATGATTTTACACTTCCAATCTGAAGATCTCTTAAAGATCCTTTTGGTGTCCAAATTTGAAACGAATTGGTCAAATTTTACGCTTATTATAACACTTTGTACCATATGGCACTATGGGCGCTTAACAGGCTTATTACAACATTTGTCCTCACAATGAAAAGAAATAACCAATTTTTTAAGAATTTAGTACATAACCATGAGTTATCAATTCATTTTACATATAATTTATTATATGCTTCTAAGTAATTACTTTTAAAGCTCAGTTTAACCATGAATCATACCACTAACATTGAACTATTAAAAATAATTCTATCGACACACCTCTACTTTAGGTTCTTCTGCTACAACATTTAAAGCTAATACTGGTCCCAAACTATGCGTCATTGGTTGCACTTCGCAAACCACTGGGACTGAATAGACCTGTAGCTGCGCAGTGAATGTACCAGCTTCATTAGGCTCAATGCTTATCTGCAAACATTATAACACGCAAAAAATGAAAATTAATCACCAAAAGACATGTCTCTTACAAGAATACAACAATAACAATATAATTTATTACCTATATCGCACTTTTTCTATAAAAATAGTTAAAAGCACATTACAATTAGACAAATTCTTACAAATTACAAATTTAAGACCTAAAATCCTAACATGAATCTACAAAACATTTTATCCCATTGTACCTAATATTACAAGTAACCTATGCTAACCAATTACAAAGTATCACTCAATCAAACAGTAATACTACTGATATGCGTAAACTTACCTAGACATAAAGCTTTTTGAATTATAATTCTGCCACAAAGATTCATTTTCCATTTGTTCATTTTGTTTGCTTATAAGTTTAGTCACAACAAGCAAGTAACAGTGAAACAAATAATTTATCCACTGAAATGCTTGTTGGTACATCATAAAATCTTAGATCTCTTTCTGTCACTAACCTTGACGTTTTCTGTAGTATGTGGTGCTATGATCACTTTTGGTTGATGAGAGAATGCACATGCACTACTGGGAACCTGAATGTCAACAAAGACAGAATCTTGAACATTGTACTCTTTACCAGTAGCTGCTAAACTGTCTTGTGATTGATGAGTTGAATACTACAGTTAAGCCTCCTCCAAAAAGTTTGTCTTACTGCAAAATGAGGGCTGAAAAGCATATCCTAGATCAGGTGGTCAACTTGTGCTCTAACTTGTTAGTATTAGGTATGTTAAGGCAACTAGTTAGTGTAATGATTCTTGTCCTACTTAATGACAAGATATTGTAAGTCATTTTAATGTTAGTTGTAGGTTTTATTTCATTGTAGTTTCCCCCACGTCATTGCATGTCATTATTTATTTTGTTAACTACAGTTGTTAACAATATTACAAAATTTAAAGTACAACTGAGATGACATCCGAAGGAACTCTGACAACTGACTAGAGTTTGCTAAAAGCTTTGCACTATTTTAGAATCCTCTCAAAAAGGACAAGAATACCCATACTGGAAATCTTCAACCAGACTATACTGGATCCATGTTCTTCTTGGAATTCTAATTAATCTTGCACCTTGACTCCTCATGCTCAGTTACTGAGTTAGTAACAGCTAGAGTACAATCATTCAAAATTATCTCTTACCTGAACACCATTAACAGTACATAATATTGAGTGTATTTCGCAATGCATCCATCGACTGCTACTGTTATGTAATGGGATGACAGTTTCTGTTAGAACCCCCACACAGCAAAATGGAGGTAGCTTGATCTCTCCAGGTATAATCACTTGTGTTGGTGATGGCAATGCCACTTCCTGGGAAAAATCAGGTCTAACTTGCAGAAGTCCATTTCTTATCTGTTGCGATGGATGTTGATGGAAAGGCATAGACTCAGGAGCTCTTGGCTGTGTAAATGAAGTTGGAAATCCTGACATACTCGAGCCATTGGCTTGAAGATGCAAAGGGACTTGCTGATGTGAGTTGTTCTGAGGAATATTGACATTAAGGGACTGGACATAGGTTGGTGTTAAACTTGATGGTTTTGGTCCCATTGATGCTGAAACAGTCTGAACAAATGGAACATGGCCATAGAAGGTATTCATTGTGCCATGTCCTTGACCTGGATACATGGCTGAGCCCAGAGGAACCATCCTTGAACCATATGCTGTGGGTGCTGTATATGATAATGTGCCATGTGTCTGAACATTTAAACCATGCCCAGTTAGAATAGGCCCAATCATACCAGGTAACCCAGAGGAGCCATCGGGTGGATACAGTTGTGATACAGTGCCTGGATTGCCAAGTGGTACAATACCTTGTGCAATACTTAGAGGGAGCCCCACTGGTGGATAATGTTGGTTCACCAAGGGTGTTGTTTGCTGTTCATGCATTAAATTCCCTGTTTGAACAGCTACCCTTAAATCACCTGCCAGAGCTGTATGGCCCATAGGACCTTCCACTGTAGTAGGAGTGCCTGGTTGGCTTTTGTTGTCTCTGGCATGATCACCCCGGTGGAACTCCATCTGCTTGTGTTGATCGCTGGGAGTAGCCTCTGGCCATGAATGCCTGCTGTTTGACATATCTTGTGACAGCACAGTGGTCATGCTTCCAACTGCACTATCAGACGTGTCAAGTCTTTGTGTACGTGGAGAAGAATCAGATTGCACAGTGTTCATTTCTTGGGTTAGGGTATGAAATTGTCCTGTAGACATGGGAGAATGTGGGAAATTTCCATCATGAACAACAAATGGGTCTATGCTCTGAGGAAGTGAACGATCCAGTCTTTGTTCAATCTCATGTGTCCTATTCTTCCTGGGATCAATTACAGGAACAGTTTGTTGTTGTTCAGCTTCCTTCTTAGCTTTGTGTACTGTGTATGTTTCTCCAAACTGGGGAATTATGTGTTTAAAAATGCCAGTTTCAGAAGAAGTCATCGATTCTCGTTCTAAGGGAAAATCTTTGGAATCAAGTTCTTTAAGACTCAATGGGACCATTGATGGTGAATCCTGTGATACAAAAACACTATCTTCCACTGTGTAGCTTGAAAGTTTTTCAGGAGAGATCTGACTGTTATTTTGTTCAATCACTTGAATACGTCTTGGTGAATACACCATTTTTTCTGGCGAGGACTTAGTCTGTGGACTGCTGGATGCCAAAGGATTAAAGTCAGAGGTTCTAGCATTAGGGGATGCTGCTTTCACTTCAGAAGATGGTAACTGTTTCTTTTTTAACTTGACTTTGGCTTTTTGCTTTTCTACCGCTGTCAGTTTCTTTCTTAGTTCTTCTGGATCTTCATTGATGGCTTTGGCAATAAACTGTGTCATCCTCTCAGCAGAAGTAGCATCTCCAAGAGATGAACTCCTTAGAAAACTTGTTCTACTGGGATGGATGTAAAGCCCTTCAAGTTCCTGATCAGTTTTGAATTCCAATCCTGATGACACATCAAGAGGCTTTCTCGTATTTTGACGTTCCTTTTTCTCCTGTCTGTGAGAGTGTTTTCTTTCTTTAGGTTTAGAACCCTTTCCACCATTAACATTCCTACTGGACTGTGCACTTTGGCTATCAGTTTTCTTTATGACACTCTTAATGCTTCCCTTACTGCTACTACTCTGTGAGCTGGTCTGGCTTGTACTTCTACTTCTGCTTTTCACTGGAGCATCTGTTTTAAACTGCTCATCAAGTTTCAACTTCTCCATTTCAAAGGATAACACGTCTGTAGGAACTGTGCCAGGTGCATGAGTTGATGATACATCTATACTCCTTGACTCTCCTGATCGTTCCATTCTTTTTGGTTGTTCCTGTGTCTGCGATCTTTGAGCAACCTCACCAGAGCTCTTGGATTGCTGTTGCATTACATCTTTAATACCTCCATCTGCAGATGTCCTATTTAAAAAGCAATCTGGTGAATTTTCTTGCATAACTGGATCCAATGGTGTAGTTGGATTACTGATCATTCTCACTGGAGCTTGTGGGGAAGGTGTCAATATAGGTTTGTCATCTCCAAAATGAGGCTAAGACAAAAACAACAACAATGTGATTAAATGTGATTACTGTATTCAGAATGATCACATTTGGCAGCCACTGGCACATGTACCAAACACTGGAACCTGTCAATACCAGGAAAGTAAAGTGGCCAGGTTAGCATTTTTAAGTGTGTTCCAGGCTGCTTAAGCATAATCATGCTACTGTGGGTTTCTGTGGTTTGCAAAACTACTACCAAGTGAAGACTGGCACCTGAAGTAGAATTTTTGTCACGAAAAAGGACTGCCAACTTAACACAAAACTTCCCAACCATATTCAGCTCAATTTCCTTTAAAAAGGTTAAAACAAACATAAGCCAACCTTGGTCTCTGTATGACAACCTTATTGTCTATCCCTTTGTGACAAAGGTCCCTGCATGACAGGGTATTAACAAAACAGCAATCCATCAATTAGTTGACCTACCCTGGGTCTGTCAGGACTGGTCCGCGACAAAGAACCAAGTTCTCCTGATCCTGCTGCGAGAAATGCACCAAATGATATGCGCACCTCACCAATGTCACTAGGATCATTGACACCGACCACCTTGAGAAGAGAAGGTCTGGTAATATACTGACTGTCTGGAATTGTCCAGTCATGTAGCTTGGTGGTGTCATTACTTTGAACCTGAGACTTGAATAAACAAACAAACAAGCAAGCAAGCAAGCAAACAGTTAAAACAGCGAGTCAAAACATTTAATAATGATANCATCAGTTTCTTTAAAGCACTTGGTAGTGTGGCCCAGTCGTCAATGGCTTTATAATATGTTTTGCTTTTTCCCCATTCCGTTCTTGGCCTACTGACTTTGGGCATGTAGCCATTTGGGTTTAACTAGTTGTATGCTATGTACGTATCAAAAATGAAGAATTCAGTGCTACTGGCTTCCTAAAATCTGGCCTTTTACAGGGGTTTCATTAAAGTTCTAGAAGGAAGGCAACTGGTTTTCACAAGAGGGCTAACCTTTTTGAACTGAACTTCTTTATAAGAAACACATTCATCTTGATGGTTTAATCAAGCAGGCAAAATTCTCCTCACAGAGGTCAATTTGCCTGGTGCCTGGCCCTTTATGAAACCCCTGCTTTTATGCATAATGCAATAACACTGCAGGACTAATAAATAGTTATTGGGAAGAAACCTACAGTATATTATTCTTACAAATAGGTCTATTTTCTTTCTGCCCGACTCCATACAATAATTTAAATCATTTTCCCAAACCAAGGAGATCCAGGTGGCTGAGAAAAAATAAAGCTATACAGAAGGACTGTCACATACTGGAATCTCAAGTTCATGTTCCCTGTTGAAACTCTCTTCATCAGCTGCAATAATTGCTGCAGCATCTCCTACACAACAAATAAAATAAAAATAAAAACTTAGCTAATACAAAGAATGTCATTTTATTTCGGCAACTACAAACATTAAAGAGTTTGTAATTGCATTACTGACCCTTGACTGAGACTGAATCAAACAAAGATAACATCCAAGATGCAATATACATAGGGGCATTGAATAAAACGTCAAGAGTTAATTACAATGAAAACTATTGCTGTGTACTTGCAAATATAACTTTTTATACCATGCCATAGAAAATACAGCCAATCAGAATACAGGAAAGCTGTACAGTTGTAGATTTGACGATATTACATCCAACTGCGCATGTATGTCACATTGATTCCGTTGCCCACTCTATTTTCTATGACATGATATAAAATAGTTACACACTCCTAAAGGCTTGTATGTATAACAAGAAAATACAAGTTATTCATGGATATTCCATAGCATACCACTCGAAATAATATGCGGATAATACACTGAAAGGCTCATAGGTCCCATCTGCAGCCCAAGCTGGACCTGCTGAGTAATTTTGTTCTACTTTGTTCACTTTCCGTACTCTATGGTTACTGTCCACAATCATTCAACTTAGCACTAATTTTATTTTGATAGCTCAAAGAAGGGTGCTTACATGTATTGGAGAACGGGTGCTTAGCAGGGATGTTTACTTCTATTTGAACATATACAGCTGAACGTGCACAATACTTCAATAAAAGTTTACCAACAGATCATACTCCTGCTAAAAAACTGTACCAATAGGAGTTCTGATAGTCATAATGTTCAATAAAACAATCAGATGCAAAGCAGACTTCATAATTTGTTCATCTAATCAGTCTATTCTATGTCAATGTGTTGACTGTCACTTTTGCTATGGGGGCCCTTAATGGTACTGAAAGGATGAGACTTGGTAGAATCATTAAGAGTAAGTGCTCTTTTTGTTAGTACCTTGCGTCTCAAACGTCATCCAAGAAATGTCATTTTTGCTTTCACCACTGAAAGGATTTTCTTCAAATGCAGCAGCATTACCAAACGTCCAAGGCTGTTGATCCCCAGAGTCTATTTAAAAGAAAACATAAATGTATTTTGCCATAAGGTGACCTGAGGACTCTATTTCTCCTAAATTGAATGCCTCAGCATTTCCTAAAATTCCTCTATATTTGGGGTACCCTGCCAAAGCTTCATCATGTCTTTTCATTCTACAAAGCCTACAAAGACAAACCTCCAGTGCCAAATGAATTTTGTCCAAGTACAGAGTCTTGCATGTCATCTGCACCCGCAGGCCATGGAAATGATGACAATCTGTCCACATCCCATGGTGAGGCTGCTTGTGTGGTGAATTCTTCTGCAACTCCACCAGGTGTCAGGGTTTTTTCAAGTGGTAAATCAGCGACATCCCGACCACTTCTTAACTCTGTCAGCACTTGGGAATCTCCTTTCATGTTTTAAGAAAAAGAGAAGATGGCAATTGTTGGAAGACTATGTGATTGCGGATCCATCGATGTCCATGATAACGAGGACAACCCAAGAAAAGATAGTAACAGACAATAGAGTGGTTTTCAAATACAATTGAGTGTTGTTGAACTAAAACCAAACCAATAACAAACCAAATACACTACTGAACCAATCTCAAACCGTAGTAAAACCAAAATCAAAGTAATTGCCTGATTACTTTAGACAGTGAACTGAAACTACTCTATATGCACATATGCAGATCATTGGTTTTACAAGAGTGGATCAGTGCAGAGAAGAGATAGGAACACATTTTGGAAGAAGGGTGTTGATTGAAATAACTATACTGCAATCAAACTAAAGGAACCAGGAGCAAAAAGTTTTACTCACCTGCTTTCCAAGTTTGAAGACCTGAAGCAAGCATTGTAGACTGATCCCCATCACTTGACTGTTCTAATCTACCAGAGTCTTGCTAAAATTTCAAACAGTAATGTTTCAAAAATGTAATTGCAGAAAGTAATGAAGTACAAGTCAGAATAACATTATTTTATCTACCTGATTATTCTCAACTAGCTTTCCCATAACCGTGGATGGTCGTTGATGTCCTTGGAACACAACTCCTGGTGTGGACCTCATAGCTGCTTCTTCTTCATCTCGTGGTGTTGACTGAATTTAATAGAGCAAACATTCTGAATCTACAAAATTGCAGTGGCACATGAATGGCTTAGGGTTGTGGAAGTAGCAAAGGCAAGGTAGGCCCATGCTCCTGCACTTCATATTCTGAAGTACAGACATCATTATCAAGAATATTTTTCAGTGCACCCAGTGCAAAAGTTAAACAATTAAGAAGTTGCCACATTACTGACCGTTTCCTGTATCTTATCACCTAGACCTGCTTGACAATGGATCCAATGATCTTATAAGAATGTCTCAGGAATTAAAATACTCAGCAGAGGAGTACCTTCCACAGCTGTGAACTGTCAATGGTTGAATTCCCATCCATGAATGCACTGTTGCTGAACTTGAGTGAAAAGTTAGAACTGCGATTTGATGAAGGAGCAGATAATGCTGATTGTTCAACATGCCAGCTCCCTGATCTCTGATGTGAAAGTTGTGCATGCTTGGCTCCAACTGCCATTTCATTTGGAATCAGTGTCTACATAACAGAAGAAAACATTTTACTAGTGGATATGAGAGTTAGGTATCCTCACCACAATCTATCTCAATTGCTTCATTATAGTGTGGTACATGTAATTAGTATGGTTTACTATTGGAGATGTGATAGCCTAATGATAACTGCATTGGACTTTGATTCTGCAGATAAGTGGTAGCACTTTGTCTTGTTCTTTGGCAGCACTGTTATGCCATCTATCTGCACTTAGCAGAAGAGCTCAACGTTGCGACTGCTGCTGCTTTTTCACTGGCAACTAACTTTTCAAACTTGGTTGCCAGGCTGGCCACTATGATATCTCAATTCCTTTTTCTTCTAATTTTCATACTCATCAAATGATTGGAATGAATGCCGAATACCAAGNGGGGCCACTGGCCTGATGCAGACTTTACCTTACTATCATTAATTTTCAAAACCACCTTTGAGACATAAGGAACAAGTCCTCAGGACATTCCAAGACTAACCTGTGACGTGTGAAAAGAGCTATCATCAGCCCAAGCAGGGTAAGGTGTAGAAGGATTGCGTCCCATTAGGTAGCAAGACTCAAGAGCTGATGTTTCATTGTGAACACCTGTGTTGTTATATTCTTGTTGTCCAGCCTGTAGAAAAGTTCACGGCAATTAATATTGCTTTAACATGACTTTTCTTTTACAAACCAAATTAACAGCTACAAATTATAGGCACTACTAAGGTAAGAAAACAATGATTGAAATTGTCAATCAATAACCAATATATTTACCTCTCTAACCATGGGAGTGGATGAAGCTTGGAAATGCAAAGGATGTGGCATACTTATTGAGTCCCTAGGGTCATTCAGCTGCTGTGGAGGACTAGATACCAAGACAGGTGACCTGTCTGCAACAGAATCACCTACAGGACAGCCCCGCCCTGCTGCCAACCCATCACTGACAGGCACAGCTGAACTTCCCAGGGCATCACCTCCAGTGGGCGGGTTGATGAATCCAAATGATGTGATAGTTGGAGGGAATGTTGAGGATGGCAATGCACTAGCACTGGAAGAGGCATATGCAGCTCCTGTCAGACAGCACATTCAAGTTACTGAACAGGAAATCATGACAACCAACATCAACATCAACATCAACATCAACATCATCTGGGTTACCTAATAGAACAGGCCATATTCATATTCTCGGACTGGAAGACTCACAACCGAGGCTAATGCAGGGAGTCTTTCTAAGTGCAAATTACATTAATCTCTATTGAATGATTTTCCCCCACACTAGCCTCCTTCTAATCCAAAACCAAGAATACGAATATGGCCTATTAAGTGACCCAGACTACTTTAACTTAGTAAACAGTTTGAACCCAGGAATATTGGTCATGTTACATGACCATCCCAGTGAGAACAGTTAGTTTTAAAAAGAACTGCTGTTGGCATGACTGGCATCCCAATAACCTGTACAGAAGGCATCTTCAGAGTAAATTCAGGCTTGTCTCTTGACTGTGAAGATGACTTGCACTTTGGTTGTCAAAACATCAGTCACCAGCAACTGTTCTTTTAAGAAGTAGATATACCCGCAATGGATGACCTAGATATTTACACAACAGTTACAATATTATACTTTCCTAATAAAGATACTGCTGATCTTCACTGGTCAGCAGAAGAAATATTAAGCAGTGTTCACAAGCATTCAAAAAGATGGAACTCTTGAGGTGATTTATAGAAGCTGAACCAAAAACTACATGGGATTTAGCACCCTTTCCCCAATTAGTCCCTCATGCCCAATGTAGCTCGTAACCAATCTATTCCCACCTGCTGGACCTCCATCATCTGCATCACTGTTGTTACCACTGCTGCCATCACCTCCTCCTCCTCCATCTCCCAGTATGTCAGGGAGAACATCAACACCCTCAGCTGATTGACGTAACTCTGTTAAGTAACAATAAAATTTGTATTTGAATGCTAGTTTGATGTGCACGTTTTGTCCCTGCCAAGAAACTAATCAGAGACCTTTCAGTGTACCTAACTTGTTGAACATCATGTACATCTATGAGGTCATGCTAGCATTCAAATTACAATGGCAATCTGGCCTTATATTCCCAGTTGTGCAACATGCAATTCAATGAATATTTTCATATTTATATAATTTGTTCAGACAACTTTGAACTAAAAGAAACCATACATGTAGGGAAATAATTTAATATGCCAATATAGCCAATTTGTTCTTTTTGTTTGCAAAGGAATGCATGTTGCAATGAAATATGAGCCAGGGTCTGAAATTAACTTTTTTAGGCAGGTGCCAACTGGCGACAGAATTTTTTTTTCAGTCGCCAGATGGAAAAATGTGGTCACCAAAAACTGTCAGTAAAATTTAGTCAATTTAGTCGCATTGGCGACCAGCTGGTTGCAATTTTGGACCCTGTGAGCCACTCTTTTTGCATTACAAACAAATTTATTACAGCATGTTAGATACTGTGTGCACCAAATCTGACCTATCCCCTGGGTTTCCAGCCTTGAGCTCAAATCCAAAGGAAGACCACCTTGAGTTGGCAAATCCTCAACATCTGAGTTAGCACCTTCAAGGCCAGGGCGTCCAGCACTACCGTTACTGCCATCCCCCGCACCGTGCAACAAAGGCATTGCATTCTCATCATTGTCCTCATGGCCATCACTTTCAGATCTGGAATCCATTCCACTTCCATGCCCTCTGCTACTACAATGAAAAATATTTGATCACAATCACTGCTGGTGCATTTGAACTTGCCTTTTGATTACACAAGTAAACTAAAACTTACCTCTGACTTAGAAGTCTTGGGATATGGGGGAATTAAAACATAAAAGTTTACAATTTTTCTCTATCATTAGCATATAACTTTGCATACAGAAGGAGAGTGTGCCATGATATACAATTTTACTCCAAATGTTTAAAGAACTTGTGAAACTTAAATATTGCAGTGCTAGTTGAAGTTTGGGTGCAAAATTGAACGAGATGTTGGCTTTCAAAAGCTGCAAAAAGTGGCAAAAGTGCTAATGAGGCCATACAGTTGTTATAAAATTTTGAGTTTCCAAACGATATGTATTTGATACATCACAACCAGATGTCTTGGGAGAGTTAATTATACTATGCCTTCCAATATTCAGATCTTATTTTTTGTGTAGTGTAGCTCGATCTGAAACTGCAGTACTTATGCTAATGAGGCAAATTCTACAAACAAAGATTCCTCTTTTATCCTTTTCTCTAAGGTAGAAAGAATGTATGCAAGGACGAGATCAAGTTGTAAAATGTAGTAACTTACATATCCCATATTTACATGTACCTCAAGTTATCACATGTATTTCATGACAATATAATTTTTAAAAATTTTGAGAATTTGTTAGTAAAACAACTTTTTGTATTAAAATAATGAGCCCCTTTCTTATCAGGGCCATCATATTTTAATTTGATGTCAAGAGAATTTTGTGAAATTTAGCCTTTATAGAGCATTTTAATTACCAATCTTGCACTTAAGTACAGTGATACCACAGCCAATATTACCTGCTAAAACTCTGGCTAAAAATACTGTCAGGAAAACTCTGTGACTGTATAAAGCTGATACTGGATGTCAAGGACACCCTATCAATCAACTCCCCACCATCACCACTGCCAGATCTCCTTTGTAACATCATGTCCAGCTCCTCTGTAATAAAAGTGTTCACCATAAAGAGGTAAAGATGAAATGTTTGTTGTTTAGCATCACAAACACTAACAATTTAACCTAAACCAAATCCTAGTACCAACCATTATAATTATTTTAAGTGCATTTATATAATTTCAGCCCCCCCCCCCNTTAAATCCATCTTGCCCTTCAGAAAAGTACACTGTAGCATATAAAAAAAGGGCTTACCCTAGGCAAGTCTTAGTTTAGTTTTTTTTCCTTAGTTGACAGATGACCTGCTGCGGACCCCTTGCAAATGAAAAGTTACTAGCCTGAAGGAAAATCCACTAGTCCTGGACGACTGGATGGCACTTCTTCCGATCCCTGAATTATCTACAAAGTTGATCATGCTAACATAAAAAGTACAAGCCTGGTATAGAATGTGTCACCTCGACCATAACTGTACTGCAAAGGTTCTCCATTAACAGGTTCACTGGCATCATTATTAACTTCTCTACTGTGAGAACTGAAAAAGGTATCAGGATCCTGACCTGCAGGTAAATAAGCAATAATAATTATTAAACGCTCCTTATCCTTGAAAATGCAAAATTCGGTAACTACATGAATGGGTTGTTTTTAAAGCGGTACTATGATCAAATTTTTCGCCCTTGATTTTTTAGGTGTATCACATAGAATTCCATAAAAGAATAAAAACGCTGTTTATCGTTTGCAAATATCTGCATTAGTTCCGGAGATATTTAAGTTTGAAAATTGTGTAAAATATGCAAATGAGATGAGTGATGACGTCATACACTTAACCCAATTTTATTTCAAGAATATAAATCGTGCTATCTTGGTCTATTTTTCAGTGCAGACCATTGAAACTTGGTAGGCTAATAGCACTACAGAAAACACACCTACGGCTATAAAAAATTCGTTTCCCATGACAACTAGCTCTTTTCCAGTCCCCACCCTTTTGATTTCAATATGTTAGTGATTTTCAGCTCGCAAAACATTAAATGAGGCCACAAACTTGAGCTAACTTCTTTATATGCTTGCTGAATCAAGCATATGAGGTACCATTTGCAAATATCAAAATGGAACGCCAAAGGTGGCCAGAAATACCTTTAATATTGGGGAGGTCTGGAACCCAGTATGTTGCCATGGTAACCAAACTGTTAAGCCCATATTGTGGACCGCATTTAGTAGAATCTTACTGCAAAGAATCAAACATTTCTGATACAAATTGGCTGAGATATCTTTTTTCATCATATTTGATCACAATTTGGTTGAGTGTATGACGTCATCACTGGGTAATTTGCATATTTTAAAAACTTGAATATCTCTGGAACGAAAAGAGATATTTGAACATAGTAAACAGCATTTTTCTTCTCACATGGGCTACTTGTTTATGTTTTAAAATGAATGCGATAGGAAAGATGCAATTTTCGTCATAGTACCACTTTAAGTACAGGCACAAACGTGAATTTAAAAAATAGCAACTTTCCAAGAAAGGTTGCCCTCATTGTTTACTTGTGTGGTTTCCCACAGGTAGTTTCTTCCCTCCAATTACATCGTCCCACCAGGCACCGACATGTAGTGGGTTCTAGTCAGATGTCACAGTGACTAGAGAACAGGTAAAATCAAAGTCATCTCCTCATTTCTACTTCGCTTTTGTTCACTTACACTTTTCTCACATTGATCACATTTGGTACCCAGCACAGTTCACATCATGTGAAGACAATATGATTACTTCCTCTTGTTGATTAATTAGTTGCTTCCTTCTAGTTACCTTTGAGTCTGACTTTGTATCATTATAATTACATTATAATATATCACTCTTATGCTCACGCTTACCAGTATCTGGTCTTTCTTCTTCTAGTTGGACAACTGTGTTCCTGTTGATGAGTGGAGTCAGATTTCCAGTAATACTGAGCTCACTGGAGAAAGGGATGTCCTCTCCATGTAAATTGCTAGCAGTGTCATGGTGATTGATAACTATTTCATCTTCTTCCTCCTCCTCCTCGTCACCAACTAAAGTTCTTTCTAATGGCAGAGAAGGTTGCTCTACCATAGGAGGACTCTGAAGATTGTCGCCAAAGTCTAAAACAAGGTTGAAGCATACAAATATCATTGTGTTAGAACAATGTGATATCCAGTCTAACTTAGTGTTACTCGAGTGCTTTAATACTACTTGAGTGGCAAGAAAACTATCTGCGCTCACTCGTGAGATATTGTTCTTGCCACAAGAACATAAAATTCATATCTTCGAGCTAGATTACTGACGATTGTCGAAGACTCTCGAGGAAGACCAGAAGATGTTTCGATGATACACCAACGAATTTAAGTACAATTTGAGAGACAAACTTGATATCAGTGAAATCATCAATATCTTCACTAGTGAGGATATGGAAAATACACCACTTGAGTCTTGGATGTGGATTTGTATGAATTTTGCGAGTGGTGTATTTTCCAGTAAAACACTGTCTACATAATAAAGCAGTTTATTATATGCTACATGTAGCTCAGTGAGCAGGCAAGATGAACCAAATCCTGTGCTGTGATTGGCTACCCGAGCGGACAAAATAGCACTATCTTACCCACACAGGATTACCCACTGCATCCCATAAGAAAATAGTGCTTTTTTCCCATAAAGTAAATCTTATTTTGACCGAGCTTGTTCGGTCAAGGTGGCTGAATATTGGCCTCATTCTTTTTTTTTTTTTGCGAGTTTATGGACCAAGACTCCATCTCAATCCATAAACACGCAAAAAGAGAACTTGGCCAACATCCTGCCATCGTGCCCTCATGATTGGTTAATAATCCATATATATTCTGACATGCACTTCCATATAACAAGTAAACGTTGTTGACAACCTCTGGAAATAATTGTTCTTACTTAGAGGGACATGTGTCCTTTCAAATTTCTATTTTGACTAAACAGATTAGATAAATTTTGGTATGTAGTTAATCTACAATAAGCAATTGTTTGGCAAACAGTAACTCATCACTTGATTGTAAAGTTAGGTCCACACCCTGAACAAACTTAACACTGTCATTAATGAATATTTTAGTTTAGTTGATGTAAACAGTTGCCCTGACTTTTCAACAGCTTTGTTTTACGAAAAAAAAATTATATTTCACTTTTAACAAAGAATACCTCTGAAAATGACATTTAACTTTTAGTTTTTCTCATTACAAGTACAGTTATTTTTTTTTTTTTACCTGGTAATCCATCTAACTGTAAAATGCCAAGTGAGCTATCATCACCAACTAAGCTTCTGCCACTCTCACTGGATGCCACAATTCCTGAAAAAGGAGAACTAAATTAACTCATGAAATCGGTCCAATTATACATGACTGTATAAATCATACATTCATTACATGAACTGGATTTAGCAAGGAAAACTCTGAATAGGGAACTAAGAGGTAGAAGTAACAGAATACAAGGCTTGCAAAAACTTGAATTCCAGCTTTCCCCTAGGACAAGACTGTCTCAAATATTGCTTGCCCTGGCAAGTTTTAGTTTGCTCCTTCAATGATTCAGTTGACAGACGACTTGCTAACCCAGAAGGAGAATCTACTAGTCCCAGACAACCAGACTGCACTTTTTTCAAGCCCTGGAATAGCAAAATACTAAAGTCCTATGGTATATGTACAGTACTGTTTTCAGTAACAGTGCAGCCAGTAATGTAGATCATAGTGTTCTTCTTTGAGCCCATAAACCTGTCAACTAGATGTACCAGGGATATAGCGGTATGGGTAACAGCTCTGCAATAAGTGCTGTTAGTAACACAAAAAAAAGAGGTCCATTAACCATGTACCACCATGTTACACAGGCCTGTATACTGAAATGTAATGGTTGATGGTAAAGGTACCCAGAACTGTACACATGCACATGCAAAAACAGTTGTTATTAGCTCCTTGTTATTAACAGAAAGGGTCGACATTTAATTGTACAAACCTAGTGACTCTGCATTTTGGATGGCCTCAAAGAATTCATTGATGTTGTTGGAATTTAGTCCCTGCAGTCCCAAAGATGACCTAAGAAATAAGCAATTACATTGTAACCAATTATAGACATGTCACTCTTTTCTCTTTAACAGTATTAATAACTAAAAAGGATTGATGTGCAGAAAGCATTGTCTTCATTTGCTTACCAGTGTACATTTAGCTATTATATTTATCGTATTACTTTTAGCAGACTTGAACTTACGTGTATATACTTATACAAATGCTGCAATCTGATTGGCTAAGCTATTGCACACTACTTAAGAAATAGAAAACATGTACCCGTCGTGTTTCTTTCAAGTTATAGAAACACGAGTGGAAGTTTGGGAGAATGAGAAACGCTGTGGCAACACGAGCCACAGGCAAGTGTTTCCTCTGCTTTTTCAAGTTCTCCCAAACTTTCACGAGTGTTTCTATTTAACAATAATTATTAGATTACAAGCTCAAGATTTCTATGAGGTAATAGTTGATGAGGCCGAAGGCCGAATCACCTCATAGAAATCAAGAGTGAATAATCTAATTGTTTTAGTAGAATTCTAACTGAAATTAATGCAAATAACGGTTTCCAGTTGAAGGCATTCATGCAAAAAGGGCGTATGGGCCGATTTTTAGTTTTTGCAGGATCGAGCTAACTTTTGGCAGACTGACTTGTTTTGACATGAAAAGCATCATTGCGTAATTGTTTTTGTTGATATGCGCTTCTTTTCCGATAAAGAGTGGTTATAACAACCCATCAAACTCTAAGTGCTGGAAGCTGTTTTGAGCCACTTTAGTCCCAACCACAGATAGTAAGTGTCACAAACCACCTGGTCTGTTCTATTTTGTATATTGGATCCAAAATGTAATGTTCAAAGCATTAAGAAGAGAAACATTGAGTTAGTACTCTAACAAAATGTAAAAATAATGTTAACTTGATAGTCTTTGGTTTAAACAAGCTTATGCTACATTTTAAGCTTAGGTTTATTATTTCGCCACAATTTTTTTTTCTATCAAGCTTAATTAATTAAGTTATGTATGGAACTTTTAATTAATTAACCATAAGTTTGATGATCAAATTGAAAGGAACAAACAGAGGGTCAGACAAGATTTGCCTCCAAAATTCTGAATTTTTGTTTTGAACAATATAAGCTGAACAATATAAGTTTACATGTAAGCAGAGTACAATATCGAGAACATTTTGCTCACGCAGATGTTTTATCGGCTTCCGTTAACTAGTGTACCTTACAAAAGCCAGAATTGAAGAGTTGAGACCTACTGATTTTGAAACACTATACGCTTATACATTGTAGTGAAAAATATTAATAAGCTCATTAAAAAAAAAACAAAAAAAAAATTAGCTTGTTTGCAACCACTGTTTTGGTTAGCTAGGAGAAACGGTCTTCAAATTTTCCTATTGGCGCTTTCCACTCAGTGATCAAAAGCGTTCAGCTTACCTTGACTCTTTACCTTTCTCTAAAGAGCCATCGGCTTGAATTCCATCTACCCCGTTTAAACGGGTTTCGTTGTTACCCTCAACACCCTCATTGGCCTCAATTTCAGCGAAAGAAGCTTCGCTAAACTCACTTGCGTCAAAATCTGAGAATGATTCGAGGCCGCTAACATGAGAAGGGGGTGCGATGTCGCTGAACGCAAAAGAATCCTGCGAGAAGTTCAAATCCATTATCCCTTACAATCTTGAGCACCAGGTCTTCATGATCAAATAATCCATTGAAAGATTTCACCTACAGGAATTTGTATTTATGGCAAAACGATTCAAAATAGAGATGAGAACAAAGACGAAGTTTATGTTCGCGCCAAACCGCCATGTTTTATATAAAAGTTATGGATGAAATCGAGGCTGACCAGCCGCTGATCTATTTTTGATTGTCAACGTAATTCTTAGCACTGATCTTCCAAATATTAATTTACCCCTTTAGGGAGAAACTACTTGTCGATCAATAATATTCTACAAAACTACCCTTGCCTCGCGCTTCAATTGTTCTGAGTATAGCAATTCCCGTGTGAAATCAAGCCAACAGCAGGAAAATGCGTTGTCGTCTGAATCTTGGAAGGAAAGATTAAAATAATTTCTTTCGATTCCGTCGGAAGTATGCTAATTTTACACCTTGGATCTGATTGACTGCCGCACGCTGCTTTTATTTCGATTTCGTGGCGATTTACATGTCACATTCCTTGGGATCCGTGAACGCCACTAACTCAAACAGGACTGAGTATAGTTGACATATTGGTTCCTATTGTGTCCACAGTATCGGGCCTTTATAACTGTTGTTTTGACAGTCATCTCAGCTGAGTTGAAATGCTTGCTGTTGTGTGACATAGCCTGAAAACGCACCACTGTACTTGAGGTGTCGATTGAAAATCAGGCAAATGGGATGTTGTGCGTCGAGAGGGAAGGCCGTGCGTGGTTCTTCAAACGATGATCTTGAAGAAGGACAGCAAAATCTGACAATAAGGTATGGTAAAACGCAAGTTCTAAAGTGGCAGCTTTTAATACGTCTTCGTTTGAGTATCAATGTTTGGTCTCTTTAGCAAGGGTACTTTACTGTACTTTAGCAATAATGGCGTTATTTTCATTTCTCGAATTAGCCTGCACGATCGCAACTCCCGGGTGACTATTACAGTGATGTGAAATCACTTCACATGAATTTCGATCGAAAACATCATTAGTGGCAATCCATCGAAAACTGCAAGATAGCGGGATGTTCAGGGTTTTCTTCGTGATGACCGCATTCTGATGATCTGGAACGATGTAAATTAGGTCAATATAAGCTTACCAAACAGATCAGCTCAGAGCTGTAATATCAATCGCCAAGCCAGTTACTGAAAACGTCGTCAAACGAGAGTTCGTTGTGTTTGATTTTGCTATTTTTTTATTTTAAGCTGTGTACAGTGTATAAGGAAAGCGAAATTTAAAGAATTAAGAAAGGCTAGTGATTTCAAACGTTCAAGCTCACAGAGTGATCTAATACAATATACGTATCAGTCATGTAAAGACAATTGGGGACATACGGATTGAATATTTATATTGCACTAAATAATTAAGAATCGTTTAAATTTGGTGATGATCATATTTTGATAACAAAAATTGCAATGTAGTGGACTAAAGATTTAAAATAAGCTAGAAATTTTGATAATGAAAAATTTGCAGTAATGACTGTGTCACCGTGCAGAATGTATCCATACTCTCCTCGTAGAAGGTCGTTTCACTTGAACCCCTCCGTCGAAACTTAACTTTCTTTTAAATTTTTTTAATTTTTAGATCCCTCACCCCCTTTGTGTTGGTTGACAAAAACTGTGCATGTTTTGCCCGTTCCAGTCCACCAGTACTCTAACCGTAGACTAATTACATACATTATTATACATTGAATTCAATATCTCTTTTCTGATTGGTCGAAAGTGTACAGTGAATTTTCGAAATCACCACCTGTGACATCATCTCTGCAGATTATACAATAATCATGTCAAGGACCCTCAAGGTCACAGGTAATCATGTCAAGTTCGCGCACTTTGGGTTGCTTGCCGTCAGTGAAGAAGCAAAAACATGACTTCCATTTTTTTCGTTCAGTGTATAATAAAACAATTATTGATAAGTTAATAAAGATGGTGAATTTTAAGCTCAGTAATGAAATGTGAAGGGGAATTAATCAACATGACATGAGCGTGGGACAAAGAAAAATTCTGAGTCCCCGACAGGAATTGAACCCATGACCTTCCAAACACCGGGCGGGTGCTCTATCCACTGAGCTACGAGAACTCATGGAAAGCAAGATCATTTAACTGGGTTCGATTCCTGTTGGGGACTCAGAATTTTTCTTTGTCCCACACTCGAGTCATGTTGATTAATTCACCTTCACAAAACAATTATTAGATGCAGTTCTTGTGGCATCCAGAATAATCAAGGTCTCGGTAAGGGCTATCAGCCTCAGCCTTCAGCTTAAGCTGATAACCCCTACCTCGACCTTGATTATTCTGGATATCACAAAAACCTCATCCAATAATCGTTTAGAAACAAGCGTTTTGTCGTCATATACATGTACATGATACTGGTGCAAGTTAAAACCTTAAAACCAGTGCAGTAAACTGGGTGAACTCACACTGCAACGCTGTACATGTACGACTTGTTCTGGCATGACTTTCTGTGCCGGGATCCTGTGCAATAAGGGTGAACAGCAGTGAATTCCTACTGGCATGAAAGTTGTCCCTGAGTGTCATATAGTTGAATTACTCCACTCTTGGGAAGGGGGATGAGGTACTATACTAAGGTTTTTTTTAACGAGGGTTCCAACCCGAGGTCCAAACCTTCACTATTTGGTTTACCATATGCATACATGTACCCGTTTTTACACTTCAGCTCAACAAACCCTTATCTTTTATACACCTCCACTTGAAAAAAGGTGCTCATTTTGGACAGAGCCCTCCCACATAATTTATTAGAAATTACAGCAGTTTTCCTCTCTCCAGGCTTCACTCAGCTCCTTGCCGTCCCTGTCCAGGGCAATATACATGTATTTTCAACAACCTTAAACCCCAGGTCCCCCCTAGCCTTAAACCCAGGTCATTCTGATGAGCCATCTAGTTCTTTCAGTTCTCAGGAGTGGAGCAGTCTCTCTGTATATTATGGAAGAACACATAAAGACTGCTGCACTGCTAAGAATTGGTTCGCTGAAGAGCTACATGCAACCTCAAGAATTTTCAAGGTCACCAAAGATTAATGGAATATTTATGATCTTTTTTTCTTTCTTTTCAACCTCTACTCAGTGACAAAGGAGCAAGCAACATATCTCTGCCAATAATAGCAGCAGATTCTCATGAAAAACAGGGGGCTCCCTTGGCTGAGGAAGTAGAAGCATCAAATGAAGATTTTCAACTTTCTTTGCCACAATATGAAACTCCTGAACATGAACTGCATCAGAAGGCTGTTCCTGGGTCCAGCAGTTCCCTGGATGAACTTTGTGGAAGGAAAAACAATAAACCAGACAGAGAAGAACGGTTCTCAAAGCTAAGTAAAAAGATATTTGGTAAAAAGGACAAGGAGGACTCTGAACATGATGATCAAATTTCAAAATTAACTGAGATTACTCCAAATGGGAAGGAGACCACAGTGAAGGAGAACGATGTTGATATTGAGATTTGTCCAATAGATCATGTGCCGGAGAATGATGAGCCAGACATTGACATTTATCCACTGGAAGAGGCACCTGCTACAGCTGATGCCGTAAACAGTCATCTTCCTAATGGTGTAAATGGCAAAGAGACCTCTTCAGATCTAGAAGCTAAACATGGTAAACATGAGAAAGATGGTAACCAAGGAATTAACACAGAAACTGTAACAGACAATTACTTCAGTGTTGGAGGGACAGGGTCATCAACAGAAAACCAGCTAGCTGTAGATGATGAGCTCTATCAACAGGTCTTGTCTGGAAACATGGACATAGCAATTCCTAATACAGCCAAGATGGTGAGAATATTCACCAGTTCCACATTTACAGGTAACCAGCAGTTTAGGTTCAAGTCATAAAAAATGAAGATGATGAAAAGTTACCAACCTGTAAATTTCTGTTTTGAAGTCTCACACTTTAAAACACATTATGTACAGTGGACCTTTGAGCCTCCTAATAAGTAATTTATTGAAAGTAATCTTGAAAAAACTTAAAATGATTTATTTAACAACATTGGTAACTAACTTAAAGTTTGAAGACATCAATTATCATCACAGTTATGTACACAACTTAAGCAGCTGTGAAATTAAAGCCTGAAAAAAAATAAGGCTTCAACAGGATTCAAACACATATTCAAAAAATATAATTATGATTTTCATATATTCATGTCCATTCTTCACCATCTATGGGTATATTGCAAACTCACAATTTGACCAGCTCCCAGTTGGCTTGATAGCTCAAATCCTGTTCAAGCCTGCATTTCTTTCAGGCTTTAATTTCACAGCTGCTTAAGTTGTGTGTATAACTGCAGTGATCACTGATGTCTTCATATCTTTCTCTGCATTTCAAATATTTGGCCTTTCATATATTCCCTTGAAACTTAAAATTTAACTTCAAATTTCATGTTTTCTCTTTTCAAACGTTCTATGATTTATTAATAAACTATCCTCAGTTTCATATGATGTTGTTGGCAACAGACATGGAGTAAAGCCATGCAACCATCTTCTCTTACAGAATGGCATTCTTGGAAAAGCCAGATCAGCTGGTTACAATGAGGTGCTTATTCAAAAGAGTGTAATTAATCAAGAAGGGGAACATTTTCGTTGAGAAAATTATGATGTTTGGGACTTTTATATTTATTTGTGGAATGTTTATTCACATACAGACACAAGAGTTGAGCGCAATGCACTGATGAGCAGAGTTTACCCAAAACTGAGAGACTTCTGTCATGAACAAGGCTATGAATTCCAAGTGGTCGACATGCGCTGGGGTGTGCGGGATCCGTGCACAGATGATCACATGATCAGTGAAATTTCTCTGAAAGAACTCCACACCTGCCAAGAGCTTTCCACTGGTCCTAACTTTGTGGTGAGTAGCTTGGGGAATAGACTTTCCTTTTGTGGGATCCACCCCTCCTCAACTTGAGAGATGTAAAGTCCTACCTAAAAGATTCAATAATTTTGACTTTTGTTTTGGGATTTTGACTCTTTCACTACGTCATCGTGATTATTATGATGATGTGGCGTAGTTGTTAATAGGTGTTGAATTTTGTTTGGAAATAGCAAGTCAAGACAATTATATACTAGTTTCATTAATCAAAAGAGTCAAAATTCCGAATATCCCTCCAGTACATGAGAGGTAAGATTTCAGTCTGGGGCAGATCAAGGGGGGTTCGGGAGGTTTGGTCAAACCCCCTAAATTTTAAAAAATAATGAGACATTATAGCATGCTGACTTGGTCTCAGAATGCCAGAAATCTCATTTCAGCTCGTGCCTCAATTTTAATAATTTTCCAGGAGAGGATGCCTCCAGACACCTCTCAAGGGAATCACTTTCAGCAGTCCGTGTCGCAAACTCCATTCTCTAGAATTCTGTATCTGCCCCAGTCAGTAGATCACTAATGGGAATGGATTTTGTTAGGCTATGGTAACAACTGTTTTGTTAGGCAGTTACATAGGTAGTAGTTTCTAAAGAAATTATTGGGTTGCAGTGGTAAGCAAGTGTAACACTTAGCTATTTTATGCATTTTGCAGTTCAATATACCACTATAAATGGCAGGCCCATTTTGAGAAATTCTGTTATTGGCACACACTTGACAGGTCTGACAACTCCCTGTTGTACCTCTTTATAAACTGTTGTGATTGCAGGTGTCTTGGAGAAGTGTTCAAACTAATTAATTCACATAATTATTTGTACTGAAAATAAATAACACAGTTCACTCTGGGTTTTCTCCTACTCTTCTGTTCTATGTTTATTAAAATGCATTATTGGCGTTCGTTACAAACATTATCATTTTGTCACTTTGTAACATACCTGTAATTAGAATTATTCTGAGCAGATTTAAATTACCAGTTTGGAAGTGTCGGCTGTAGACTCTTGACAGGAGTTGCTGGTGACCATGAAAATCTTAATTAGTGCCAGAAAAATCAACAATGGACTGCATGTTTTCTTACCTTTATACTTCAATGAAAGTTTGTAACCTTATTATTTGGCAGAATTACTGTACCTCGATTGTACATGTACATGTAAAGAAACAAATAATAGATGTCAAGACAAATCAGGAAAGTAGAAATTGTTTACAAAACAAAGCCAGCTGATTACCCACTGGAAGACATTAAAATGACCAAACCTGATTACGTTTCATTAGACTAAAACAACAAAATCCTGACCCAATCATAATCTATTCACTATTGTGCCAGAAAATGCTCTACATAATTTTCTCAAACTCATTAATAATTCATAAAGTTTAAACAAGGAAATCATGACCGTGACGGTGCTTGGATATCTGATCTTAATTAGCATAGATTTTTACGATTTTAATTCTCCGTTTTCTTCTTAGTTTTAATTTCGATTGAGAAGATATTTGAAACACTCAAGGCAGTCTTTGACCACATTTCCAAACACCTCGAAGTTCGTCAAAAATACTCCGCTACGCGTCGTATTTTCAACTCTCTTCTCGGTGTTTGGAAATGTGGTCAAACACGGTCTTTCGTGTTTGATATATTACATCAATTTTGCTATACAAATGGTGGTGAAAATCCGGCAGAAGAACAAGCAAACTTTTTAGTATTTTGCAATCATGTATTTCATTATTATGTGGTAAATTTCTGCAAAACTGTCCGAGAGTTAAGATTCATGATTTATGGTCTATATCAAAGGGATTTATTTTGCAGACATTTCTGAGTCAGAAGTATGGCTATCGTCCTTTCCCTCACCGTATTCCTGCCACTGAGTTTGACTCCCTGTCTGCTGCAGTTGATGATGAAGAAGACAAACAGCTTTTGCAAATTTGGTTCAAACTTGATGACAATGCCGTTCCACCAGAGTATGTTCTTCAACCAATCAGCACTCAGTTTAAAGACTACGTTGATCCTCCAAGCTCCGAAGCTAAGCAGCAAGCCGTAAAAGACTGGTGGAATGTATTCCTACAATTGCAGAGTGCGTTAAGGAAAGCGGCTGTGAAAGTACTGACCAAAGACGCTGCTCACAAGTACCTTAAGTCAGGTACAGTCCATATCCCTTCCTCTTCAGCTGCTCTAACTAGCCTGCCACGTCTTTCTTGGGCCTACACTCGGCGACAGCCAAAATGTTGGTACAGCTGTAATTTGTTTGTTTGTTTGTTGTACGCGCCGGATGCTCACGTTTCAAAACCTTGCTCTGCATCAGTGGCATGATAGTGTTAGCGGATTGATTAGATAGCCGACAAATTTCTTATTACTTAGCTCTTATTAACCGAGCAGGAGGTCTGTATGGGAGAATCTTGACCGAGGTCGTGAGTACAGACCGAACGCAGTGAGGTCTGTACACA